TCCGGCTGGCGGCTGCGCTCATGGCCCTGGCGCTGGCGCCACCAGCGGCGCTGGCAGCAGGCACGGCGACGGTTCTGGGGGGGGACCTGGTGGCGGCCACTCGGGGCCAGGGTGGTGGCCGTGGCGGCGATACTGCTTCTGGTGACGCTGGCGGCCACGGCCACCGTGTCCCTACTGGCTTTAGTGTTGGGGGCCGTGCTGGTGGCTGCATCCCTCCCTGGTGGTTGCAGTGGCTGCGCTGGTCGCGCTGGTCACATGCCTAGTTTTGGCCCTGACAGTGCTTGCCGCTTTAGTGGTCGTGGTCATCGCTGTGCTGGCCGCAGCACTGGTTGCAGTAGTGGCCGTGGTCAGACTGGCAGCCATTGCCGTGGTTGTTGCCCTGAGTACCCTGGTGGCCGTGCTGGCCGCCGCCGTGGCTCTGGGGGCCATAGTGGCAACCTGATGGTGGTGCTCTTGGCATCTGTAATCCTGGTGGCCATCATCCTAGTGGGAGCCCTTGTGTGGTTCAGTATCTTGTGGGTTGGGACACTGCCCCTAATAGCGATTTACATCCGTATGAAGGGAGATGTATTCAGTAAAAAAAAATAAGTGAGATCTTAAAACTTTTCCGAAGAGAGAGAAATCACAGGCTGTGGCTCCCACCAGAAAGCTGTGATGTCCCCGTTGCTGAACAAAAGGTCTCCCCGAGCCCTGCACGCCAGCTAGCTGACACCTACACTGCTTTGGGTCATTGTCGCCTCACCTTGTCACTTTGGGATACATCACTGATCTGAAAACACTCCACTCGTGTGCTGACGCACCCGCTTCTTCAGTCTCTTGGCTTTTCAGAAAGCGGGAAGCGAGCCCAAGGTCACTCTCTTGGGAAAACTCGCCATGCTTAACAGGTCGATCCTGGATGCCCCACCCTCTCACCTCCCTGACTCAGATCTGCTCTGTCTGTCAGCAAAAAACCTCTACCACACTCAAAACACAGTTTGCCTTGTTGTTGTTGTTGTTGGTTTTTTTTGCTCTTTTTACTGCTTTAAATACCAATCCCTCGTTTTGCTCAAAGGGGGCTGGGAGCGAAGGCCAGCTATTATTGACCGTGCTGGGCTATGCTGCAGGGAGTGTATCCAGTTCTCATTTCCAACCAGTCTGTAGGGGATATTTCTAGAAGCCCATTCTCCCCTCTAGAGCCACATATCCCTCTCCATTTGTTCTTCCGGACAATGGGGTTGTGTGCAAAATGAGAGCTGTTATTTGGCGGGGATTTTCTAAACTATTGATATAGGTCGATTGTATTAGAAATAGCTGTGTCTTCAAGGCAGGAGGCAGGAAGGAAGCAAAAACAAGCACCACTTTGGATATTCTCTCATTACTAGCCGGCTGGAAGCAAGCTGATGCCAGTAAATGTAAGGCTTGTGCCTTGGCTGTCATTTGGTTTTGCAGAGGGAAAACAAGTGGCCCCAAACTCAAAAGTGTACCACTGCAGCTCATGTTGGCACCTCCACACAGCTGGCCAGTTTGTCTTCTCAAACAAGGGGCTGTGTTTTAAAAGTATACATGATTCCGTTGCTTTTGTGTGCATGACTCTTGACACAAGTCACAGTGGAGGTTTTGATCATGCATCAGCTTTAAGTTCTGGTGTCAACAGCAGTGCTAAAAAACTATGTAAACCAAACCTCGTCCAGATAAATGCTTTCTCCGTATTCACACTGTCAAGAAAGTAAGTCAGACTTCAGTTAGTTCACAGTCCTTACACTTAACACACTGTCTAGAAGCATGACCGAAAAGGCATTATAATGTAAGAGGTCATTGAACCAAAGCACACATTAATAATTAGTGTTAAAAAAAGATTAAAAAAAACAAACAAAAAAAATAACTAGTGTTTGTTTAGCAGCATAACAGAGGAGGACCCTCAACAAGATGGATTGGCACAATGGCTGCAACAATGGGCTCAAACATGAGAACATTTGTGAGGATGGCCCCAGACCAGGTCTCCTTCTTGTGTTAGTCTGGGTTGACTCGAGAAACAAATTCATTGACACATATATGTGTAAGAAAGAGTTTTATATCAAGGAGTAATTTTATATTAAGAAAACATCCCAGCCCAGTCCAGATCAAGTCCATAAGTCTGATATCAGTCCATAAGTCCAATATTAGACCATAAATCACTCTTCAGACTCACACAGTCAACGCACACTGATACAGAATGCAGGGAGATCACAGGCCCGGTAGGTGCAAAGTCTTGTGGATCCAATGGCAGTGGATGCATCTCCAGGGCTTTGGCTGCCATCAGTGTGGCTCCATGTGGCTTGCCAACTGAAAGGGGATGGCAGAAAGGGTGTGTGACCCTCCTCTGAGGAGAAAGAGAGGAAGTTCCCAGAATCCTCATGTGAAGGCCACGCCCACCAGGAGGCATCAGGCTGTGACCTGATTGACAGGCTAAACTCCACCCCTTCGCTTTATTTATCAAGTGGATATGAAATTATGTAACTACCACACTTCTGTTGTGCATAGGGTCACCCTGGGTCAAAAGTGACTTGATGGTACCTAACAATAACAAGGCTTGTTGGGCATGTATTATGTGCTCAGCAACATTCCAAGGACTTTGCATGTATTACTTGCTGTAATCCTCAGAAAATCCTGTGGGGTGTATGTATTTATCATCATCCTTTTATACAGAATCTGAGGCACAGACAAGTTAGGTACCTAACCCAAGATCGCACAGGTAGTAAGGATTCAAACCCCAGCAATCTGGATCTGAGCTCATGTCACAGGCCTAGAACTGCAAAGAAACTCTGTCAGCAGCTACCCGTGCCTGAAACCCCAACTCTGTCAGTACCAGACAGCACGTAGACAGAAGAGAGTAACACAAACTGTAAACTTCTTTTGAATGGCATATGAATATGTCACGTTTTCCTTCATTACAAAGACATGAACCACATAAAGGAATACAATGTGACTTGCTGCATTTTAATTTTCAGGCATCAACCTAGGAAAATGATACAATAACACTTAGCATGGCAAGTTAAATCTTTCCATGTAACCCAGCCACCCTGAAATGTTGGTATTTCATAATGACTTGCATCCTTTTATGATGTCTTTATGTCCCTTTTCACCCTTTCACACATCTCTACACACTCAGGACCATCTCATGTCACTAAATGAGGTGAAATGGGGAAGGGAACCCCAGAAACTGAGTTCTGCTGTGTCTCTGTATTTTTGTGTATTCCAATAATACCACATCCACCCAACTCTCTCCAGCTCCAGAGGTCTCTGCAGACCCAGGCCTGGTCTGCTATCCCCTGCTCCAATGTGAGAAACACCAGGAGAAACGGCCACCTCTTGTTTTAAAACTGGATGCTTACTGGAGGGATAAAGTCATATGTTCAACACAGAGAGGTCATAGCATTAAGTACGAGGATGGCTTCCACAGAACCTAACTAGTAATGGGAAGACGACGACGACGTTAATAGAGCAAGCATTTTCATATGGAGTTAGGTTTATACTATATGTTTTTTATACTCACCTAAAAAATAAATGGAACACATATAAATATCTGAATGTGTGGGGAGAGAGGGAGGGTGGGGAAGAGAGAGAGAGAATAAGAATGTTTCCGTGGAACTAAATTTGTCATCAGAAGATTCATGGAATCTGCTCCTTTGTTATCACTTGACATCCTTGGGGATGGGGTGGGAGAGGACACCAAATCTTTAAAACTCGTTAGCTTTATTTATTTTTCAAAAGACAGTATTTTCACAGGGTGCAAAATTATATTCTTAAGGATATGGCACTGAATGTGTCTAAGGCAGTCAATGAAATTCTACCCGTGTCACACTTTGTCTCCTCTTTGATAATGTGGGTTAGTGACACATTTAATACTTTGCCAGGGGACCACTCCCCCCCCCCCAAAAAAAAAAGAGGGCAGTGGATATTCACTAGTAGAGTTCTTGCTTTCCATGTGGGAGGCCTGTGTTTGATTCCCAATCCGTGCAGCTACTGCCCATCTGTCAGTACAGCTGTGTGTGTGTGCTGCCTGGATGCTGGACAGGTTTCAGCCAAGTTTACAAACTAAGACAGACTAGGAAAATGGGCCTCCCGAGTAGGCTGCTCCCCACAAATCAACCCAGGGAAACTCCGTGGATCACAACAGACAGATCCTGTTGTGCATAGCCTGGTCATGAGTTGGGACCAACTCCACAGCTGCTAACAACCTCTTTGCAAACAGGTCCTGCATTGTGTGTACAAAATATCAACATCTTGCCAGAATTACAGACAAGCTTCAGAGCTCAGTGTACAAGTGCTCAAAATAAAATGGATAGACTTACACCATGACCCAGTATGATGTGGTTACCAGCTGAGAGTGCCTCCCACCCCACCCCCCACTGGCCCATGTTAGCATGGTAACACTTCGCTCAGGACAAACCCTAAGTGCTCCAGGGGGCGTTCCTGGATTATAATTTTTAAAAAACGGAAAGACCACCACCAAGGTGGAGCTAGGGCTACATTTTTCAGGGATGGGTGTTGTGTTTGATTTGGTCGTGTAGCAAGAAGCAAAAGGACAATTCCCGTTCGAGGGCTGAGTGAACTGAGTAGCGTTTTGTACATTATGAGAAGGTTCAGTAGAGAGAAGTTTTACCCTGGAGTGAACCTTTGTATCCATGACTCAAGGATACATAATGAATGGCTTTGCACTGAGCCCAAGAGATGTAGATAACTTGCTTCTTTGTTTTAAGCCATGGGCATATTGCCGTGTGAAAGTTAATGATCTTTAAGATGGCTGTTAATAAACTCCTGAGTCCTGGGCATCTGGCAAAGGAGGAACCGTAATATCAGAAATTTCTACCTGTGATCGCATGCTTTTAAGCCGTTATTAAATATGCTGTTCATTTTCTGGTCTTCGGTATTGAATTTAAGTTCATAATCCCTTTCTCCTCGTCTGTGTTCTGTTGCTTCTACCTGTTCTCGGTGAGAGAAGTCGCCCTCGTGACAATTGTGTCTGATCCTTTCTTTCACAGCAGCAACCCGGCTCATAGGTACTACTTGGCCACAGACCCCGTCACGGGGGATCTGTACGTTTCTGACACTAACACCCGCCGCATTTACCGCCCCAAGTCACTCACGGGGGCCAAAGACGTGACTAAAAATGCTGAAGTGGTGGCCGGGACAGGGGAGCAGTGCCTCCCGTTTGATGAAGCCCGATGTGGGGACGGCGGGAAGGCTGTGGAAGCGACACTCATGAGTCCCAAAGGTACTGGCGGTGATCAGTTTTGGGGATTGCTTTATGTTAAAAAATAATAATGATAATAGAAAAAGGAGGGGTAGAAAATGCAGTTAATGCCTGACGGCGTTTAATGCTGAGTCTGAAATTGTACCTTGCGCCGTGTTCCAGAAAGCTGTTTCACAGCGAGTGTTTTTAAAAGCCATTTAGCGGGAGACTGCTAGAATCCTAAGTTGATTTTACAGTAACTATTAGGCCGGCCACATTTTTTATCATCGCTCTACTTTTTCAACCTTTCAAGGAATGGAGCAACGGAGTGGATATAATTCAGGTCACATCCTGTTAGACTTCAAGGATGTGCCCAAATTCTTTCCTTGTCTTGGAATTTCTTTGTCATGAATGAGTCCCAGGGCTCTGTAAAAGCCGTCACTAAGCAACCTTATTAGCCCTCACCCAGTTTAGGGCCGTTAAACTTTTGTTTCTATGCCATGGGAAAAAGTGCTTGCTGTGAGCAATTGCTGGAGGTAACAAGGGCTACAATTCTGTGTCATGGAAGTCCCTCACTTGTAGGCCAATCAGAACTGAGTCCTTGCTCGTGGATACAGTGCTGGTTGGGTCTGGGTTAGGTTCGGGGCTTTATTGTTTTTCATCATAGCCAGTGACTATTATGCGAACAAGACCTGGGGGGAGGGGAGTATTTGTGAACGCAATTATTCCTAACAGTAAATATCATGGTAACAAGATCGACCAAGCACTATCCTTGACTTAGATCTATGTTTAATACAGGAAAGTTCACTGTAACAGAATTTGACCTGCTTCTATCATTCATAGACAGGACCAGCATGTAGACATTGTGAGCTTATATTTAAAACATACAGGGTTACTACCTAGGAGATCCGTGAACTTGCTGGAGAGTCTTCATGCCTCTGTATGATTTCTTTCTGACATGTTCAGTTTGTTTGTCATGTAAACGCCATGCCGGCTCTCGGGTTAAATGTTGATGTACCCGAGACACCTATCGCATAACTGACATTAGTCGATTTTGGAAAATCCGTAATAATGTTTTTCTCTTGGGTAAAGGAATGGCTATCGATAAGAATGGATTAATCTACTTTGTTGACGGAACCATGATCAGAAAAGTGGATCAAAATGGAATCATATCGACTCTCCTGGGCTCTAACGACCTGACTTCAGCCAGGCCTCTAACGTGTGACACCAGCATGCACATCAGCCAGGTAGCAGCACCGCCTCAGGCTCCGCTGTGGGTGGTTCTTCTGAGGGACTTGGTGTACTGTGTCAGGGGCTGCCATGGCCCCGTTTTAAACTCCGTAGATCCTGTGTGGCTGTGGTGGTGATGAAGCTGTTCCATTTAAATGTGCATCAGGAGCTAATAAAAAGTTATTTTCTCCTATAATTCTGCAGATGATGAATTCAGTGCAATACAGAACAATTATCACTAAGAAATGCTAAGTGTTTGCCATGATAAAACACCAGCAGAGGAGCAGCATGCAGATATTCCAAGGAGAACAAAACCCCCTTAAATCTCTAATCTCGTGATTGCATGAGCTCCCTAAGTAGGAGGGGGGACCCACTGTGATGAGTCCCAAAGGAATAAGATGTAGAACTAGGAACTTTACGATGGGCCTGATGGAAAGCACAATAGGATGCTAATGTATTCATAATCTAGGAAGCCCTGGTATTGGGTGGTTATTACTGCCATAAGGATGCAGAACGGGCACATACGCATTCATATCTCATTGATATCTACTGACTCGCTACTTAGAAGTTCATTTGCTCTTCGGATGTAAGTCATAGATCTTCCACGGAGCTCTGGTTGGCACAGTGAGTTTCGTGCTGGGCTGCTCACCACAAGGTCAGCAACTTGAACCCACCAGCTGCTCCGAGGGAGAAAGATGGGCTTTCCACTCCGATAAGGATGTACAGTCTCAGAAACCCACAGGGCAGAGTTACTGTGTCCCAGAGGGTTGCTGTGCACAAAATCCACTTCCTGGGAGTAAAGGAGGGAGGGTGGGGGTGCGTGCGTGACTGAGTGGACCTCCCCATGCCCTGCATTTTAAAATACCACCACACTGCCTTCACTGGCCTCCACTCAGAACTTTCCAGTCTCTCTTACTGTGTTTGCTGGAAAACATGACTGAGACCTGTTAAGACCGTTGATCAAACCACGGAACGGCGGGGTTTACCCTGGGGCAGTGCAGTCACTGGTTGACCAGGCCGTGTCTTTTCTGGTTCAGGTACGTCTGGAGTGGCCCACCGACCTGGCTATCAACCCCATGGACAACTCCATTTACGTCCTGGATAACAACGTCGTGTTGCAGATCACGGAGAACCGCCAAGTCCGCATTGCAGCCGGGCGGCCCATGCACTGCCAGGTCCCGGGCGTGGAGTACTCTGTGGGGAAGCACGCCGTGCAGACCACGCTGGAGTCGGCGACCGCCATCGCCGTGTCCTACAGCGGGGTGCTGTACATCACCGAAACCGATGAGAAGAAAATCAACCGGATCAGGCAGGTCACCACCGACGGGGAGATCTCCTTAGTGGCTGGAATACCCTCCGAGTGCGACTGCAAAAACGATGCCAATTGTGACTGCTATCAGAGTGGCGATGGCTACGCCAAAGATGCCAAATTAAGCGCCCCGTCCTCGCTGGCGGCTTCTCCAGACGGCACCCTGTACATTGCAGACCTGGGGAACATCCGGATCCGGGCGGTGTCGAAGAACAGGCCTCTCCTGACCTCTCTGAACTTCTATGAAGTTGCCTCGCCAACTGACCAAGAGCTCTACATCTTCGACGTCAACGGCACCCATCAGTACACCGTGAGCTTAGTCACCGGGGACTACCTGTACAACTTCAGCTACAGCAACGATCACGACATCACGGCGGTGACCGACAGCAATGGCAACACCCTAAGGATTAGACGGGACCCCAATCGGATGCCGGTGCGGGTGGTGTCTCCAGACAACCAGGTGATCTGGTTGACCATAGGAACCAACGGATGCCTGAAAAGCATGACAGCTCAAGGCCTTGAGTTGGTGTTGTTCACCTACCATGGCAACAGCGGCCTGCTGGCCACTAAAAGCGACGAAACCGGCTGGACGACATTTTTTGAGTAAGTACATCCGCCTTCTACTCTGATTCTAGAATGCAGTGACTCTCACGAGGTCATTGTGAGGGCAAGGAGGATCCAGGTTGTGTGGGTGGGGCTGGAGGCTCAGAGGATTCTTTGAATCTCTGTTGACCACAGAGACACAGTTCTCAGAGATTCAAAATCAGATTCGGGGCCTGGGATGACACCCCTGGCCACGGGAAGGTCTGCAGCTGACCTCCCTTAGCTTTGAGGTAGAACTGCGCTGAGGTAGAACTGCGCTGCCGACAGGGACGATCGTTAGACTTCATGCAGCCCTAGTATATTGGCAGCAAACCTTTCTGGAAGCACGCTATAGCATGCTTTTAGGCATCAACCTTGTGGGTGCACATTTGCCTGTTTGAAAACGCTGGGTGTGTTGGGAGCTTCCACTGAAGAGAACTGCCTGGAAAACATGTACCATGAATGTTGTCAATGATATTGGTGCCACAAGTGTTAGTCTTCATAGAGGAGGGCCGGTCTTCCCATGATCCGTTCAAGGAGAAGCTAAACTGTCTTTCAAAGAATCTTTAGAGAGAGCGAATGCCAGTTAGGAATCAGGTGGCTCTCTGAAAGCAGAGGAAAAGGCCCTGAGGTTCAGCCAGCCAGGTAGTCTACCAAATCTACCAAATCTCTGTCCCAGGGGCCTGAGTCCTGTGCGATCTGAATGGACCCTTTTCGCCAGGTCAGGAAGAGTGAGATGGGGATTGGCTGTTCTGGGTTGTGCACTTTGCAGCGCATGCATGTGCAAGATGCTGTCTGGTGGCTGGTTTGCTTGATTGGCTTTGCGTAACCCATGAGGAAAGTGAGATGGACCGCGGCGATGGCATGTTGACAAAGGCAAAGGGGTCTTTGGAATGAATATTGAGTACCTTCCTGTGATTTTTACAATGATACACTGTAGCAAAAGTGTTTTCTGTAGGCAGATACCTCCGAAATGACAATGAGCCTCCAGAGGAGGAGGATTCTCTATGCCCAGGTCTTCCTGTACAACTTTGCTGGGAGGGATCTTCTACAGAGAATGTGTAGTGTCCCTGGAGCCAGGATTGTGTTTCTCTTGCGAGAGTTTCATGCTTCATAAAATGAATGTTCCCTGGCAGAGTGATTTGGTGTGAGGAACAAACCTTCTCGATTGGATTACATTAGAGTTCGGCCCTTCACACGCCTTGTGCTCATTTTTGGATTGCAATAGGAAAGGAATACGTTGGATGTTAATGGGAAGCATTTCCTTTGCCCTGTTTTCAATGTGATAGCAGGCTGTGTCGCCAAAGAACCCCAAATAATTGCTCAGCAAAAGTGCCGCCATCAGCTGAGGCTGGGCAGGAGGGGACCTTCAGGAGTTGCCACTGACATTGGTGGTGTTTCTGTTTAGTTGAAAGCAAGGAGGAAAAATAAAGAAGAAAGTTTTGAGTACAGTCCAGACCCCACCCCCTGCCCAATGGGTCATTTTTAAATGTGTCCTTATTTGTTCCTAGGAATGGGCACTGCCCAGAAATCCCTCTGTGGGGGTTGCTACTGGCTTGGGAGCATCTTACAACAAGTAGAGTAATGGCTCACTTAGGACCAACAAGCAAATCTGAATCATTTGGAACGTTAGCAAAAGGGACACGCTCTATTTGGTGGAGTTACTGTGAGATCGTTTGGATTTTTTTTTTCTACCTTTTAAAAAACGATGATACACAAAGGCTTCAGTCTGTAATAATGAACACCCTGCAGATGTTTCAGACTTTGTTAGATTCAGATAGGACAATAGCTAAAGCAGTGATTTGCCAGCCAGTCTTGGTGAACAGGCAAGCATTGTTTGAAAGAATCAATATTTTCAATGACTTGAAGTGCATTGCCTTCGTATTTTCCTAAAACAAATGCATTGCACATTAAGGGCTTTGAACTCAGCAGCAGCTCTGTCTGAGAAAAGACTATCAACCTGTCCCAGTAACTATTGGCAGCCCACCAGGCCTGCCGGGGCCGTTCTACACTGTCATGTAGGGTTATGGCGAGTCAGGATCATTCAGTGGCACACAGCAACATTCGAACTTAAAGTTACAGAAAAGATGAGTATTCCAAAGACATCTGTCAGTTACCTACACACACACACACACACACACACACACACACACGGAGTATATTTTAAGAATATCGCATTATGATAAAGATGTTTTGAAATATAAATTTTCTAACAAAAGAAATGTCAGTTATAAAAAAGAAGTGTTTTTATTAAACTTTTTGTCAAGATGTATAAGGCAAAGACATGATCAACACATCTCGGGAACATTGATGCATTTTGCAAAACAGCAAAATCACAACTTGCGACCCAAAAAGAGGGAGGGCACGTTTAACATTAAGAATTCAGAGTGACAAATGATCTCTCTTTTCTTAGTAATAATAATAATTCATAATAGTAATGTATAATAATTTGTGGAGGAGCCAAGGATTCACCTCCCCTAGGGGTCCAAACCTTACAGCATATCTAAGTGCAATGTAAGACACAGGGAGGAGGTGTTCGCAAATCCAGCAGGGGTTGGGAAGGCCAGCTCAGTGTCCTCTGCAGAGCAACTCATTTCTTCTCTGAGTGTAGCTGACTTCCAGAAGCTGGGACCAGCCCCTCTGTGCTATGTGCTCTATCAGGCTCGTCTCCAGAGCAGCTCATCCCTCTCCATCACTTCTTGAAATGTGGCTGCAGGCGAAGCCCCTGACAGAAGCAGCCCATCAGACTTCTGTGGGCATTGTAGCTATTGGTAACCTGTCAGACTCCCGGGATGTGAGTGCATATCTGTAATATTTCCCTTCCTATGTCTAGTTCTGCAGGTCTTCATTTAGGCTTAATTAAGAAACCCTAGTGGTGCAGTGGGTTAAGTGTTGGGCTGTTAAAGCCTAAGTGGGAGGTTTGAACCCACTGTTCCTCGGGAGGGAAACGAGGATGTATCTTCCCATAAAGATTTACAGCCTTGGAACCCCTAGGCAGGTTTGGTATGGGTTGGATTTGACCCCAAAGCAGTGCGTTTGGTTTTAGTTAGGGAACTCGGTAACTTCCTTTAGAAGCAATTAGACTGTTGTGACAAGGCCAGAGTGTTCCCCAACTACGAGGAGGCTGTACAGAGTCATTATTCCCCATTGAAATGCACCAGCCTGCCACGTGCTGACCTCAGCCCCTTGTGTTGATGGTGCTCCGTCATCATCCTTCTGGGTGCAAATGTCAGGCAAAGGGAAATGACACTGTCCAGCCCAAACTCCTGGTTGCATGTCACCAGCTTTCAACTTGGCCTGAAAGATTCAGAAAAACTGATTGGGATCAATAAATTTGCCAACTGGCAAAATGGCCAGAGTTCCAAACAAAGAAATGTTAAGGGGCATTTAGCTGAAATGCCCTCGACCACACGTTTTAGCTTTGTCATTTTCTTCCCTTCCTGTAAACTGTCGTTTCCATTAGCCTGCCCACACTACGGCTGTGTGTAGCGACAGAGACAGCGTATGTGAAAGTACTCTGTAAACAGTAGACGACTTCATTGTTTTCATGTTCCCCAGCGTGCCTGGAATGTGGCTATGCATAAAAAACTCTTCCCACAGTCCTTCCAACAAAGGACTAGGCAATGAACTAGAGATCCCCCGCAGGTGAATACTGACAGAGAGGCCTGATAAACTCCACAGCTCTCTGTGCTGCCGAGGCTCCATTGACAAAGTACCCAGTAAACACTCACTGGTTGTCTGAGAGTGCTTCGGCCTCCCTGGACCAATAGTTAATGCTGAAAAGATCAACACTTCCCATTTTTCTTACTGATTTTTTTATCCATAGCCCCCAATCTTACATTTATCCTCTCGTTTTTTGTCTTATAAGTACTTCTTCCAAGCATTTAAATTCTAAACCCAAAAGATAAATATATGACCTTATACTGATACCAGTTCCTCCTATAATGTTGGTGCTTTTATTTATAATCATACATTCCTCCACGCCCACCTCCCCACCCCCAAAAGGAGTAAAGACAGAGAACTGCCCGTGAAAATGCAGCTTATAGCATATTGTACACGGTACCAGAGAAGATTCTAGGGGAAGAAAACCCAACGCCCAACACGAGGTTCTTACTGGCCAGCAGGTGACTCATTCGCTTTGCAGGCATCTTATGATGCCTGAGAGCCTCCCCTTCAAAACTAGAAATCCCACTTTCTTCTTAGCATCAATTTCTGTCCATTGGTTATTTTAATTCCACCCCTGTTATGATTCATTCAGGCCCCTGAGTGGCACAGACAGTGTGCACTCATCTACCAACGTAAAGGTTGGTGGTTCGAACCACCGATGACAAGTCTGGTTATCTGTTTCCATAAAGATTACAGCCAAGAAAACCCTATAGAATAGCTCTACTTCAACCCAGGGGGTCCACGTGAATCAGAGCCAACTTAATGTCCGTGGGTTTGAATTTTATTTATTATTTATTGTGACTCATTCAGGGAAGCAGCTAGTATTTGTAAATATGCTAACATTGGATAATTTGGTGGGAAGATGACAGTATATTTATAACTAAACTTTGCAATCACTGGTTTAGACTAATATAGATATTGAGGCCATTATTTATTGCCAATGACCTTCCTTCAGTGGACTGCTAGGCAATAAAAGAGGTGCCCAGCTTGCTACCAGGGTCCCCCTGTGTGATGATACTTTAACAAGCCGAGTTCGCCCCTCAGAACGTTAGGGACCCCACCGGCTGCTCTGAACCCATCTGCAGACAACTGCAGCAGGGCCGGACTCCTTCGTGGAAGTCATTCCAGGGAGCCCAAAAAGAGCTCACATGCTAAAGTGGACTCATGGGAAAGACCTTCCCCAAAATGAAATCACAGCCCTTACGGTTGGGTTCACACCAAAGCAAGTCCTGGGCTGAACTAGAGAGTCACTTCTTTCGTGTAAATGGCGTTTCACAGCGCTCGGCGTGCTTCCCCTCAGAGAGGCAGGCACACCTGTAGGCGCTTGTGCCCGCTTGGAAAGACCTGGGGGCATG